ATAGTCATCAAAAATGAAATACAACAAATCACCCCGGCAAATCAAAAGCAGCTCAATCTGACTTTAACATATTCAAATATTTGAAATATTCAGAAAAGCGGAAGGCACGACTTCCCTCCACGGAGGTTGAGCTGGAGTCAGAAGACAGTGAGCGCTCGTGGATCGCTGTGATGAATAATGAAACAGAGGGAAATCAGGATCCCTTTAATGAAACCAGCCTGTTACATCACTGCCGGGGAGGAACACTCAGTCATTTACTCATCAGCTTACTGGATACTCATACCCACATTTGGACATTTCCACAAAGGCAGAAGTCCAGACTGAGTAAAAGAAAGCCTGTGAGCATTTTACACACACACAGACACTAGTTAACTGAATCACAGGAGCCCAGTGGTTCGGCAAAGTCAAACTGAAACCCTAAATTCATTTTTATTAAGAAATCAATATCGTACGTATTTGCTTACGATTGTAAATAACAAAAAGGAAGAAATTTATGTTATGTTTATTTCTCAACTCTCCTACATTGATTTCGTCCAGTGAAATTTTTTGGTTTCGACTGAAGTCCCTCTTGGTAATTTGAGTGTCATTTCTGTGGTAGGTGGGCACAAAAAATAGTTAATAATATCCCTTAAATTTCAACAGTGAACCAGCTTGTTTTTGAGCCCTGTTTGAGGCTGTGATTCAGGCCGAGGTTACTGCACTAACCCAAATTTCTTGGTCTTACACATTTTGTCTCGAATGCCACAGTTCCTCTTTTTTCTAATGAAATTTCAGACAGTGAAAATGTCAAGCTGGAAGCTCTTTGAAATCTTTTTATAGCCTCTCCTGCTCTGTAGCATCAGTGAGCTTCATTTTCAGATCCTCAGGCAGTTGCTAAGAGCAACTCATGGTTGTCGAGGTCAGAGAATTTTAGCTGATAATTCACCTGCCTCACAAGTTCTAACAAGTTAATTTAAGGCATTTATGTTTTACCAGTAAAAGGTTGCCTAAATTTATGTTCATGCTGCAATTACTTATTTTACTTATTCACTTCCTCCCTGTTTGCTGCAGAGGTTTATTTACTTCTTTTCATTTCAGCAATAACAAGTCATTTGCCAGGAGTGCACTAACAGTGTCAGTAGCTTGGTCAAAACTGTAATTACCAAGAAGAAGAAATTGAAGTTTTATTTATTCTTTATGCCATAAAAGCATGAGAGCAGCTGATGACACAACACAAACTAAAACACACTGTTCACTGGAAATCTGTGCTAACGTCAGGCTAACTGGCTCCACTTTTCAAACGGTTGCCAGTTGGACTAGGTTGCCAGCTGCCTTTTGTCCAATGGAATACAAATTTAACAGCACAATGAGTAATGAATCCTCTCAAATGATGAATGTTGTAAAAGGAGCAGATGTCTTAAATCTCTAAACAGTACATGTTATGAGGGGTTATTTAGACGCTGTTTCCAAATGTCCAAAAGTGGTTTAATACTCTTTTGAAAAAATGGCAAATTAGGCACAATAGCTGCAGCAACTTCATACATAGATTATATTTCCTTTAAAAAACAAGTGAGGAGAATCCAAATTCATTTAATCACTTTTTTTCAAGCTGAGAGGTGAATTTACAAAAAAAAAAGTCCAGGCAGACAAAGATTAAAAATTCACACCCACGCAGACACAATTTGATCAAACACCAGCTGTGCATTCCACCTAGATTACAGATGTTAAACACAACTCAGACGGAGTAAATTACTGGCTTTTCAACAAAGATTCCCTTTTTAAATCATTCTCCTCTCCCCCCCCCCCCCCCATATCCACTCATCTTCTTATTCTACATGCATCCATCCATCTCTTCCTCCATACATCAGTCTCTCCGGGTGGCATGGAGCAGTAATAAAACATAATATCAGGGAGGATGAAGATGTCATGTCACAGGCTCATCACCGTATCTCTACTCCGTCAGATGAGACGGTGCTTTGTTATTTACAAGGTTGCCTGGAGCTGCCTACGCACCGCGTCACCTTCTATCTGCAGACAAGTCTTAATTTTAACACTGGGGAAAATATAAAAAAAAAAAAAAAAATCCAACTCTGCTGTGTTTGTGTTCATGATGAAATATTCCCATATCTCCCTCTCCGTTTTTTCCACATCCTCTACTTAAAATTCATATTTTAGGAGATGACATTTCAAAGCTTTTTGGACTCGCAGTTGCATTTGCAGCAGATGCTTTTCTCACTAATTAATGCCAGCAAAGACAACTCTGACTTTCACTCTCCAAGAGCAACAGAAACACAAGCTCTCTCTTTCCCACACTCACAGATAGAGAGCGAGGCATTGGCGCTGTTCATCTCTCTGCTTGGCACATTTACACCAGCTATAGGTTAATTGGCTGATCCAGAGCGGATGGAGGGATTGATGGCGATGAAGAAGAAATGGCAAGAGAGAAAAGAGAAGATGAGGGAGACGTTGGGACCAATTTGCCGTCTTCTCCCATCATTAACTGATAGCTGGGGCGGGTCATTAGCCGAGTCTGTCCTGTGCACTAGGTCTCATGGTGCAGGATGAGGGACACCTGCTGAAGGTGGCAGATGGCAGAATAAAGAACCCAGAAATAGACGTCCACAAGGGGGAATGGCTGATGATTCAGCCCCTGTCCTATTTTAGAATTGTTCATATAAAAATTGGGTTTGTAAAACCTCAGACCAGAAAGAAATGACCAGCTGGGAAAATGAGATAAACTTGCATGTGGTGGTAAACAAATACAAGCTTGTTTTAGATCCTTTGGAGCTTAGATGTTTAGACCCAAACGCAACTCACACTTTAACCGAATTTCCACAAATGAGCAAAAGAAAATGTTCTGTGTGCTACTGTCCTATGAAGGAGTTGGTTCTCCAGTCGTGTGGCGTAGTGGACTAAGCAGGCGCCACATGTGTAGAGGCTACAGTCCTCGCTGCAGTTGGCCCCGGTTCGAGTCCCGCCTCCTGCCTCCCCATTTCCTGTCTCTCTACTGTACTATCAAATAAAAAAAATATACTTTAAAAAAAAGAAAAAGGACGTGGTCAAAAAAAGCATAAAAACGAAATACATCGTGTGTAACTCAGCGTTGGCAGGGAGCAGCAGGAAGACATGATCTGCCCGTGCTTTCCAAAACCATTGAAAATCACTGCTGCAAAAATAAACGTGTGTTCTGATGTGACAGTGGTGCGGTCGAGGTTTGGTTTGGGCTCAGACACAAACACTGGTTATTGGTGAGGTTTAGGGCAGTGTTTCTCTAAATGTTTCACACCAAGAACCACTTAACTATAAAAATAAAACTCACCAACCACCTAACTGAACCAATAAGGCCAACAACTGGGACAGAGTTTAACAACCTGCGCCTCACACACTGCGCAGCAAAGAGTGGTGCTACTTATGTAGCATCAAAATGATCAAACACACACACTGCCGGTCCATCTTTTCCATCTTTGATAGTTAATAGACTGAAACTGGTCCCACGGCAGGCTAACCTTTAGCTACATCCACATTTCCTTTCAAATGACGCTGATCATTTTTGACGTAAATCATAAAACATAAACTGTAAACTGCCGTAGCTACGTGAGTTTAACAAATCTACTCGCGGACCACAAGGGGTCTCTTTGAGAAAGGGTGGTTTAGGGAAATGTTTGGGTTTAATTAAGCACTAAGTTATGGTCAGAAAAACACTGCAGTGCGGGCTAGGGATTAGGGTTAGGTCAGTTATGCTTTGGGAGCGATCGTGGTCTTTCGTGGTTCTATAATACCATCAGCTGACTTCCTCCTTTGCTCCAGAAAGACAAGAGCAACAAGTCCAGTCTCAGTGAGGAACAGCTCTTAGCGATACCACGAGAGTCTTCACAGACATCGTTAACTCTGCCGTGTTCTGTGGATCTGTGAGAACTTTCACAAGGATCTGAAAAGTGTAAACAGAACCCTCCGTGTGTGTGTCCTGAGCTTCGGTGGCTTCGCAGCCCATTACCTTCTCTCGGTCAGAGAAGACGCTGACATGAAATCTGTTTAGCGTCATTGCGCGGCCGCGCTGCCCACTCTTTTAATTCTATTTCTGTGCGTTGGCCAAAACTCAAAGAGCGTGCCAGTTTGCTGAGAAGCATCCTGGATGCTCAGATGCAACAGAGCGCGGCAGCCTGCCAAGCGCTGACCGAGAAAAGCAAAAGCACAGGAGGGATTTAGTCAAGTGCTCATTTAAATATGAGCGAGCAACAGACTGTGGAATTTGAATGAGATTATAAAGGGAGACGGGGGTAGGATGAATTTCAATTTGAGAGCATTAGATGTATTCTCTCTCTCTTTCTCTCTCTTTCTCTTCACCCCCACCCCCCCAATCCCCTGCCTCACCCCCTCCCTCCCAGAGGTGAGATAATGAGTCCCAACAATGAGCAGGAGGGAGGAAGTTGGCAGTGTTGTTGCCACACAGCGAAGCCCAACGGTTATTATGCCACGGCTGCTCCTCCCCTCCCATTTATCTGTGAAAACATGCACACGCACGTGCACACACACACACGCACACGCACACGCACACACACACACACACACACAGTAGGATCTGGGTTAACAGAGCATCATATCTGATTGCATCTCACTGCAGTGGTACGCATTGCACCTCCACTACCTCCTTATCAGATCTCAAGCCGCTGCATATATATAAATATATATGTATAGACATACAGCATATAGTGTGTGTGTGTGTGTGTGTGTGTGTGTGTGTGTGTAGGTGATGATGGGGGGAGGGGTTGTCTGATGCAGCTTCAAAGTCAGCAGCAGGTTGAGGGAGGACTGAAGGAGGAAGAAAGAGGCAGATGGAGAATAAAACAGCAAGTGACAGGAAAAAAAGAGCAAGGAGGGCGAGCGAGCAGAGTGGGAGAGAGCAGATTGAGAGAGAGAGAGAGAAAGAGAGAGAGAGGGGAGGGGGGAGTACACAGAGAGAGAGAGAGAGAGAGAGAGAGAGAGAGAGAGTAAAGAGGAAGGGGAGGTTTATCCAACAGCGCTGGAGAGACAGAAGTTTGAGCTCTGCGCTTCACACACGGCCAGGACAGACGATAACACACACCTACACACAGGTGAGACAACTCTTCTTCTTCACCTCCGTCTGTCACGGGGTATTTAGGGGTTGTGAAAGGTGTCATATGATGATATCATTCAGGCGTGAAGGTGAATGCTGTGTGAGCGCGGTGAACTTGGTGCTCATCCGCAGCCTAAGTTGGGGAGTGTGCAGGCATGCAGCGTGAAGACCGGTGCATCAGCGGGGGCTTTGTTGTGTCCTGGGGGACGAGCGTCCACACAAACAACAGAGACAAAGAGTCGGGAATGTGCTTCTTTTCTCTAATATTTCATCCCGCTGCAAAAGTATCATTTTCAAGATGAACTCTCAGCACAAATGGGTTGTAAGTGTTGCTGTAAAATTAATGGGAGCTCTCCCTAAGTGTAGCTTGCTGTGCACTTGCTGGCTGGGAAGCGCTATACTGTCTGTGTGTGCGTTCAGCAGTCGTGCCGCGTCTGAGCAGCATGCATTATTTATCTGCACTGATCTCCAGAAACAGCGATACCTCAACAGGGGCAGGGGGGAGGGATGTATATACTGTAATGAATTCACGGAGAGTTAATATTAGATGTGATAGCTGGACTGATATAATATAGTGAGGCGAGAGCAGAGGGACAAGCAGCATCTTTTATACACTCAGCTGTGCTTTGTCTTGTTTGTAACATCTTGCTTCAGTAGGTTGCAGCGTGGCAGAGACAGTATGTATGGATATCCTATGGTTTATTTATCTGTCATTATCTGTGATGGAGATATGGGAGTACCTCCGTGGCAGCAGGAGGCTGTGAATAAGGCTGAGCAGATGAGATCTCTCTTATCTTGGGATGGCTTTTCCACACTGAGGAGGTTGACTCCTTTTGTCTGCAGATACTGTATCTTAATCCACATCAGTGTAACACACAGCCGCTGCAGGCTACACACTCATCATCTGACTCAGTGTGTGCAGATTACACATTACACAAGGGTTTTGCTGGTGTTATTTACAGCATCTGTACGTGTTTGTGTGCCTGCATCCAGCTGCTTCTGCTCTCCCTTACTGAAGACTGACGGCGGCGCCTAATGTGGAGAGCAAACAAAGAAAGCAGCAGTTACTATCGCCCATAACTAGATCGCACAATATCACACACACACACACACACACACGCAGCACATACACACTTTGATGACAAGACAAACACGCCACCAAAACCCATCCCCTGCAGGTTTGGAGGATGGTTCTGAAAAGTTTGGGGCTTTGAGGAATATATCAGCTGAAGTCGTCTTGGCTGTTCAGCAGTTGGATGGATTCCACTGGGAACCAAAAAGTGACTGTGAATAAACTATCAACACGTTTATTGAAACTCCTCAAACCGCTCTTCACTGCCTGCGTTATCTTTGCCAAACTCACAGCTTTCAATCGTCACTAGAGCATTTACATTTTTCATTCACTCATTCGGCAGACGCTTTTATCCAAAGCAAAGTAAAGCAAACCGATTAACCAAAGCAAATAACTGAAATCCACAAAGACTAGACACCCTACAGGTAAATGACCGTTTCCACCGGCATATACAGATGTGTCGCAGTCTTGACAGTATGGAAGGAACACATTCTGAAACTTCAAGATTAGAGTCACATAGTTACACAAGAACATAAACTCTTCAAAATGTATGGAAGTCCATTACTGCCAGTAAAAGAAAAATAATTAAATAAAGATTTTTTTTTTTTTGCAATAAATAGTAAAAATAAAGTAGATTTAGTTGTGATAAAGAAAAACACTCATCAAGTCAAACTTTGACACAAGAGTGAAAATCAAAATTATGAGATAAAAGGTGGAAATTTTGACTTAAGCCAAACTTCTGATTTACTACGAGCGCTTTTCTTTCCTTTGGCTTGTAAGTAAGTCTTTACATTTAATCCGAGGCGTGGCCCTGATGCCTCAGTCAGTCCCTCTTTTGGTTTTTCATTAGTTTTAATTGGAAAAAAGCATCACTCTGTTTTCTGCTGAGACAGCAGCAGGTGTTATTTTTCCCTGAGGAAGTTCTGATGTGAGTTTCCAGCGCTGACTCACTTTACCTTAACTGTTAAAATTAATTAGAACCTTTTTTTTTATATATATATAACAAGCCTCAGTCTTCTTCTGTTTCATCATGCAACTATTTTTAGATCCGGTTTGATTGTCCTCACATATGAAAGATGGAGACAATGATGGATCTGTTCTTCTCCCATGCCATTACATACCACACACATTTTCTCTCTGCATCCCACATACAGTGGTTCCAAAGCTTTCTTTTTTTAAACCACACTTTTCACATCTCACAAAAAAAAAAAAAAAAAAAGGAATAAATCAGTAGTGCACGTTGCAGTGCAGATTCGCAAATGACTACTGAACTTCAACTATGCTGGTTGGATAAATAAATTTCTTTCATTCTGTTTTTTTAGTTCTCATGCAGTGATTCTGTTTTTCTTTACGTCTCTCAGTCCCTTAAAGATTTCAATATCTGTTCCAATATGTAGTCAGGTAAGGGATTCAGGTGTTGGACAGCTAGCTTCCCCTAACCCACCAAAAGCTGCAAGCCATGTTCCTACAGTAGCCCAGAACGGACAAACCAAACAGCTCTAGAGAGGGCCTTGAGCGTTTTACGCCTCCTGGAGGCCACCGTAGGTTCTCCTACACGCCTGTAAAGGGAGGGATGAGGGGAGGGGGAGTTCTAGATGCCACTAAAACCTAAAAACTTGTCCTTTAACTGCAAAGTCTTATTTTCATTCTTTTGGTCATTATTTTCAACTGCTGTGCATCTGGAAAATGAGTTGCGTTACTATGACAACTGGAAACCGTGAGACAATATGAAAGTCGGCATAAATGTCATCACGTGACTTTATGGGATAACATGTTATCAAAAATATAAAGTAAATACCTTCTTCACTTTGTGAAGCACTGCTACAAGTCTCAGACGCCCCAGTGTAACACACATTAACATTAACAAATGCACAGCAGTGCGAGTGATGGTCCACGATGAGAGACAGCAGACTCTCTTAAAGAGGGGGTTAACATAATGTAGTCCAGTGCAGCCTCCGCTAGTCCAGCACTGTGGTGTTAAACCATGTAAAGCCTTGGTTAAAAGTGACCTACAGAAACACCCTGCATTCACCAGAAAAAAAGGAAATAATTATGCCTATCTTATAATTATGACTTTACATAATTATGAGATCCATATCTCATAATTACAAGAGAAATATCGTAATTAGAGACAGACAGAAAGATCAGAACTACAAGATAGCATCTCCGTCTTTGTTAAATGCATCACACTTCTATAAGTAGCAAAGCCACAAAACTGATTCAAAAACTGACAGTGAGTCAGTGCAGGATGGTGAAACTGAAATGGATCATTTCTACATTTTACACCAGACTGAAGCTTTGCTGTTTTTCCGAACAAGTAAAGAATCCTGAATTAAGCAGAGGCGACTAATTACGTGAACGACCTTCTGTGAGTCAGCTGAGGATGGTGGTGGTTTGATCTTTGAAATACTCCTAAACTGCATGAGGAGTATTTTGCAAAAAGAATATTTGAACTAAAGAATAGTTTCTCAGGCACAGGGAATACGCTGTCGGATATTTTCAAAGAGCTCGGAGATTTATCATATATCAGGGCTTCTTCTCGACCATCCACCAGCTCACTCAGGCTAACTTAACAGCTGGTGCCCCTTGGAGGATTTCATCTGCACACCAATACTGATGAGACTCTGTTGGACATTGTACTGCACCCGGCCAACAGCTAAACTGGCAGTATGTTCCAAATTAAAGTGAACGCGAGCCAGTTCAGCTGCTGTCCACCTCTGCAAGCACCAACCAGAACACTGAAAGCAGATGGAGGTCTCTTGGTTCTGAGCTCGCCAGTCTAAAAACTACAACATGCATCCCACACAGGACACAGAAACAGAATCAGCAGCCAATCACATGAGATATGAAAAACACATAAAGTGTGATGTGAGAACTAGAAGAGAAAAAGAGATGCAGTTAGATTATTTTTAAGCAGCGAGTTCACACCCCGAGGTTTGGATTACTGTGAGCGTCTGATATAAACAAGTCATAAAATAAGCCCCGAGCAGAGAAACATGACAGTACTGCAGCAGAGGATGTCTTAGAGTTATACAGAGTGGCATCATCTGATAATCCCCCTGTTGCTGCACTAATCTGTCTCCTGCAACATCCTGAAAACCTCTCAGACATACTGAGTAAAGGGTCTGAATACTTATGTCCAATGTGACATTTCCGTTTTCCTTTTTTAACACACGTGCAAAAATTCTGTTTTCGCTTTGTCATCCTGAGGCATTGAGTCCGGACTGATGGGGGAAAAAAATTTATATAAATGATTTTAAGGATAAAGCTGCAACATAACAACGTGCAAATCAATCCTCGGCTTAAATACAGTCTTTCAGAGCCACTAACATTGCTCCAGACTTTTTATCTTGTTTTTTCTGTGGCTTTCAAGGTCTTTCAGTGAATAGTGAGAGGAGCTGCAATGCAAAAGATACTGATTCAGACTGCTGATTCAGTCCACTCAGTTCGTCTTGAGGATTTGAAATCTGCTTCACGGACCGAACGTAATCAGAGAAACTGAAGCGGCGCAGATGAAAATGAGATGAGAGAGTGATGAAAACATTATTTCTAAGCCACTAACGACTAGATCTATGTTATGTTCTCACATTATCCCAAATGTTTCCAGCAATTCTCAAACCTAAAGAAATACATGATTTTAATCATGATAACAGTCCGTTTCATTTGGTCGTCTGTCAATGACGTCATATCCCCTACGTGCATGTGTCAGTGTTGTGGTCGCCAGTCAGAAGCTCAAAATGGACTTTTATCTAGTTTTAAGCCACATACACTTTTTACACCTTGGTGACTTACAACTATATATTTTAACTAGATGAAAGATTCAGAGAAAAATGCTGAGTGAATGTTAGACAGCTCTCCCAGCCGCTCCGAGACCTTTATCCACCAAAGAGCGTGCGATTTCTAAAGTAGAACTGTTTTATTCATTG